TTAGCATAGCACCGCCCCCGCGGCGCCGGCCGCTCGCCATTGGCCGCGCCGCGCGCCACGGGGCGGGCACACGCAAATGAGCCGACGGGGGAGGCCTATAGGTGGCCACCGCGTTCGCCTGATCGGGCGGGGGGGAAGCGGGATGCCGGGGAGCGCCTGGGAGCGTCGCCACGCCCCATTCCGTGACGTCACATGCCCGTTGTACGTGACGTCATACCGCGGCATCAGCGTGAGGGTCCACTTCAGTCTGAGTGTTGCTCGGATGTGACGTGGGGCCTCCTTATGACATCACCCGTGACGTCACCGCGGTGACGTCACCACGCGCGGCGCCCCCTGCTCGGCCCTGCCGGTGACATCACCTGTGACATCACCGGTGACGTCAGCGGGCGCAGCGGCGGGGGCAGCCCGGGGCAGGGCAGGGCAGGACAGGGCAGGACATTGCCCCGCAGCGCTGGCAGCTGCCGCGGCCACGCGGCGACACGGTGACACGGCCACGCGGTGACACGGCCATGTGGTGACACGGCCACGCGGTGACACGGCCACGCGGCCACGCGGCGACACGGCCACGCGGCAACACGGCCACGCGGTGACACGGCCACGCGGTGACACAGCCATGTGGTGACACGGCCATGTGGTGACACGGCCACGCGGTGACACGGCCACATGGCCATGTGGTGACACGGCCACGCGGTGACACAGCCATGTGGTGACACGGCCACGCGGCGACACGGCCACGCGGTGACACGGCCACGCGGTGACACGGCCACATGGCCATGTGGTGACACGGCCATGTGGTGACACGGCCATGTGGTGACACTGCCACGCGGCGACACGGCCACGTGGTGACACAGCCATGTGGTGACACGGCCACGCGGTGAAGCGGCCCCGTGGTGACACGGCCACACAGCCACGCGGTGACACGGCCACGCGATGACACGGCCACGCGGTGACGTGGTGACACGGCCACGCGGTGACGCGGCCACACGGTGACACGGGGCCCGTCTCCCTGCTGGGACACACACACACACACGGGGCCCGGCCGGGGGCGCCCCCCTTTATTGTCCGCACGGAGACTCCGGATACAGCGACCGCCCCCGCAGCCCCCCCGTGGTCCCCGGCAGCAGGGACTGCTCCCGCGCGGAGCCCCCCGGGACACGGAGCAGGAGCCGGGGGGGTCCCAGGCCCCCGGCTCCCGTGACGCCCCCGTGGGGACACCCGCTCCGGGGGGGCTGCCCCCCAGCACCAGAGCCGCAGCGGACGGACAGTGAAATAAATAGGACAAAGAAGCACCAGAGCGGGAGCGCGGCCGCGGGCAGCGTCCGTCCGTCCGTCCGTCCGTCCGTCCCGCGCGGGGTCCCCCGGCGGGGCGCGTGCCGCCGGCCGCCTCGCGCCGTCACAGCTCGTCGTGGCGCAGGTGCAGCGCGTGGTCGCACAGGTCTGCGGGGACACGGGACACGCGGGTCGGCGCCGGTGGGGACAGGCGGCCCCGGCGCCCCGAGCACGTGGCCGAGCACGCGCGCGGGGACGCCCCTCGTGTCCCCCGCGATCCGCTTTAGTTCAGTGACAAACGCGGCGGTTCGGGCAGAGCCCCGGCAGGACGCGGCTGCCACCGCAGCGGGACCCGGCGCGGGGCCCGGCTGCTCGTCGGGAAGCGCAAAGGTCGCGGCGTGTCCCGGGGCCTCTGTTTGCCAGCCAGAAATAGCTCCGCGCCAAGGGAAATGCCCCGCGGGAATTGGCTGTGAAAGGAGCCCGGCGCCGCCGCGGCCAACGGGCCCCGCGGACAGCTGCCGTGCTGGCCGCGTCCCAGGGCCGCGAGCCCGGCCGGGCCGAGCCCCCCGCCGGCGGCTCCTTGCCGCCTGCTCCCGGCCGCCGGGCCACAGGAAGTGTGTCCTGGCTCGGATTCCAGAGATAAGGAGGGAAGAGGCCGGGCTGGCACCGCCGGCCGGGGGAAGCCTGGGCGCGAGCGCCGGGGAGCCCGGAGAGCCGCCGCGGGCCGGCCCGGCGCCGCTCACCCGTCCGCTTGCTGCAGAGCCGGTCCTTGACGTGGTCGGCCTCGTGCGACAGCAGCTCCACCAGCTCGTCCTCGTACTCCTCGGCGATGCTCTCGCACTGCAGCGGGAGCCCCGTGCCCGTCACGGGGGGGCAGCGCCCCCAGCCCGGCCCTGCAGCCGGCCGGGGAGCAGCCTCCCCCCTCGCGCCCTTTCCAGCCCCGGAAAGTGCCCCGGAGCGGCCAGAAGGAGCCCAGCGGCCCCGGACACCCGACGGCCGCTGCCCGGGCCGCGCTCCCGCACGCACCGCGAACTTCAGGCTGGCAGCCACGTCCCCGTCGATCTTGACGCCGGAGAGGTCCATCTTGGTGCCGTCGTGGGAGACGACGCGGACGTAGGTCTTGCGGTGCGTGGCCGGATCCGCTTTCTCGCCGTATTCCTTCATCTTCTCGCACACCCGCTCCAGCAGCTCCGTCAAATGCGCCTCGGAGCGGGCGTAGGGCACCTGCGGGGCAGCCGGAGGGGTCCAGCCCCATCCCGATGCCCCGGCTCTAACGGGCGCCGGAGCGCGATCTGCCCGGGACGCCTCTCACCTCCACCACGGACTGGCTGCCGTCGGGGTTGATGCGGAACGAGCCCATCTGGATGGTTTTCCGGGGGTCCACCTGGGCGATCTCCCACTCCAGCTCGTCCACCAAGGCCCGGCACGCTGCGAGGCACCGAGAAGGTGGCGGCGCCGCGGCCCCGAGCGCCGCGGGGAGGGACCCCGCGAACGGGGACTGCCACGGGACGCGGGGAACACGGCGGGGGGCAGCCGGGGTGCAGGGGGAACCAGGGAGATGTGGGGGGAGCCACAAAGACGTGGAGGGAACCGGGGGGATTTGGGGGGAAC